AGGCAGAAAGCACAACAGTTTTTAATCACTTTTTAAGCAATGTAAAAATAGAGCCAACAGCTGGTAAGGTTCTCCAAACATTTTTCATATGGATTTGTGGTGCCTCAAATGCATTTACATTTAAAAAGTAGATAATAAACAATGCAAAAACAACTATTTAAGTATCATTTTAATGTTTTGAATGTTTTTATATTCTTGTTTTATTTAGTTTCTCAGGATGTTGTAGCTTTAAATTTTGTATGAAACTGTAGCTATAAAGTGATCATACAATGCAAAAATTATCATTTTTGTAATGTAGTGCAAGTGGAGTTAGCCCCAGTTCTATAATGTGTTAGGAGCTATGATAGGCATAGCTTTTGACCTGTTTGAGAAGGGATTCCGTAATGTTTCAGATGTGTTCATCAGAAGACGTCTGCAGGGGTTAGCTGTTTTTGGCGAGGATATGAAACAGAAGCCATTACTGTTGAATTGTGTCGGCCCGGCATTGTTGGTGCTCTGACCTGCAGATCACTGGAAATCAACGCAGAGTGACGAATCAATTCTTTTCTCTTCCACAGCGTATCCTTTCCCCCTCCTCGCTCAGTGTCGCTCTACTTCTGCTTGTCTCTTTGCTGTACAGCCCCCGTCTATCTCTCACTCCTCCCTCTCCAGGGTCTTTTTATTCTGCCTGCCCATGCGACACGTCAGATTGATTCCTTTCTATGCTTTAATGCGTCTGACTCTTTATGCCAACCAAATGTGGTCTGTTTTGTTTCTTGGCTTTTATCCACCTTCTCGCCTCAATTTTTTTTGTTCAGTTAATGCTTGAGTGTGTTATTGTGTGTATCTGTTATGTCTTAGTCTCACATGAGCTCAAGTCAGTTAAAGCTCTGATTTCTAACAAAAGTAAATCCTGTCCTTTTTTCAGTTTCTTCTGAGATTTACCTCCTTATCACATCATTCTTGTTAAAAAAACAAACAACTCACAGATATTAACTTTGGTGTTTAACTTTGGGTTGACCCGCTCACCTTCTCCCTTATCATTCACTGTAACACCTTTTTGTCACGCTGGGTTATTCCACTCACAGATACATTAACTGCTCATTAGTCTATTTTTGTCCCTATGCCTCGACTGGTTTCAGATCTCTCTGTTTTTCTCATCAAGAAAAATCGTTACATAATATGACCCAGGAGCAAAATTCTACGCATCTTTTTATAGACATTACACTCATTTCAGAAGTACTTGTTCTGTAAACATGGTCCTCATTGATTGGATAATGATTTCCTGTTGTTATTCAGTGTGTGGGATTCCATCACGTCTAATGGGAAAGTTGCACACCGCAAAGACTAACTAGTACGATGAAAACTCAAAGTATAGGACAGTCTGGAGTAATTAAGAGTACGTGTTTCTCTGTCTCTGTAGTATCTCGGTAACAACTGGCACCCCCCAGTGCCGGGGGGAGTTATGTCCTTGTGTTCATGAGTGAGTTTAGCAGTCTGATGGCCTGTGGAAGGAAACTGTTGCTCAAATTCATTTTTCAAACTATGAATTATTTTGCATTACATTTTTGGAAAAACCGCTATTAGTGTTTTGATGAGGAAAAGGCATCGATCCTCCTCTGATCTGAAGGGCGTTCTTTGAAAAACTGGGGAGAACATTTTAAACCTTTGGCTAAAATATAAATATATGTTACAGCATGATTTACAGACAGAAACTGAACTTAATTTAGAAGCAACCTATTTTTTTCAGTCCTTAAATAACCTTTTTACAAGTAAAGAATTCATGTGATTTATACTGTTTAACTGAATTGATCTGTATTCTGTTTAGTTATTTTTTTATATGCTTATTGTCTCTGAAGTTAGATTATCTCTTCAATTGATTGATTTTATATTAATATTCTGAACAGTGTAAGAAATTTTAAGGGGATATGTTGGTGTTTTGCCTTTTTTTTTACAGAACTCCAGGCAACAAACCAGGCAGCAGCCCTCGAGGTCAAACCCCAGATGAGACTGGACGTCGTCAAGGGCAGGGCCATGAAGCTAATTCCTCTGTTTCTGACTTGGCCAACTCAGTCACCAGCGACATGCTCATGGTAACACACCATATCCCCTCTGTGTATTTGTTGCCAGTGAAACATGCTTTATTGACACACCACACTACATTTAAAGCCTGAAAATATCGGGAAAAGTATTAAATCCGAAAAACATCAATCCATCCATTATCCTAACTGCTTATTCCCTAATGGGGAGGGGGGGGGGACTGGAGCCAAACCCAGTAGTCAATGGGCGAGAGGCGGGGTACACCCTGGACAGTCCGCCAGTCGATCGCAGGGCCACACAGAGACACACAAGGACAAACAACCACGCACACTCACTCCTAAGGGCAATTTGGAATGTCCAATAAACCTAACATGCAGGTTGTTGGACTGTGGAAGGAAGCCGGAAGAAGCTGGAGAGCCCGGAGAGAACCCACGCAGACACAGGGAGAACATTCAGACTCCACCCAGAAAGGTTCTGGTTCCCCCAGGGACTCAAACCCAGAACCTTCTTGCTGTGAGGCACACCACCCATGCGAAAAACATTTGATGTATATATTACTTATGATTAGTTTGCCTGGTCACATTGTCTGATCTTTTTTTTTTCATTAGATAATATAAAAAAAATAGGGACATTATAACCCAAGTCTGTAAACGATAAACTCAATTGCTTTTGGAAGAAAAAAAAGCGAGAAGCCTTCACATTTTGGGCAAACTTTTGGAGGAGTTTCGTCTTCTCTACTCTGTCATCAGGCAGGAAGAGCTGTTTCCGTCCCACTCAGCTCTCCCCTTTGTGGAGCATAACAGTTACTGCCATACAGCATCTCAGTGTACTGAAACATTCAGTAATAATCTTCCTGGGGTGAGAGCTGGGAGGAGAAGGGATGTGTGCCTTATTGAGAGAGGTTCGGTTCATTAGCTGTGAAGAAATACGTGGTGATGTGGGTGCAGTTATAATATAGCAGAGACGGATATGAGCACTTAGTAATTATGTGGGTTTCATGGTGTATCTAAAGAATTTGCAATGGTGGCATTTAGTGGTAATGCTTTTTGCCAAAATCGTCCATATCTTACACAACTCTCCTTTCATGCTGGAAAAATACTCCACCTGCACTTTTGAGTCTCTGTTTCTGCAACAGGAAGAGCAGACTGAGCACACAGACAGGAGAGTGTGAAATAGCATCATATGTCAGAGTACATATACATCCACCCTCCACAGCGTCCCAGGTGACAGAGTTTGGGGGAGGATGGATTGGGGTCCTGTCAGCATCACATGGTTCTTTTCAGGATTTGCTCTGACACTGCTTTCATTTTGTGGGATGCTCAAAGAGCCATGCACAGTTCGGCGAGAAAGGATCTTCACCTCATATTCCCAAATTCACATAATTCACACAAATACATATCCATACACGTGTATCTGTATATGTATAGACATATTCTTGCGCTTTTGGTGGCATTGTAAGAGCAGAATGTGTGCACCTGTGCATTAAGGCTTTTTGATAGAAAATCCAATATAAATCTAGATTAGGTTTCTCTGGTTCCAGGCCGCAGAACCAGTTTCAAGGTTTGACACCTCTGTCTTATTTCATATAAAGATGATACTTTAGATCTAGGCTGTACATCTTAGAACAGCTGGTTCCAGTCATCTTTGTTTTTTAGCTACAAATGTGTAATTATTCTGAGATCATTTGTGGAACTGTTGCGTCTACTGCCTCCCGATTGCATGTGATATATAGAAGAGAAATTGCAATCAAGTGCATAAAAACTGACAAAACGGAAGAACTACAAGAAATAGAGTGCCCAACTGCTGAAAAAGCTGTTTGGGCCTGCTGTCGGGTGAAGAACGGGGTAATGAAAAGTGATCACATTCAGCATGGAGAATGAAACTGAGCACCACCATCTCAAATCAGTGGGAAATTTCAGAATTCGATATGAAACTTCTAAAAGCGGTCACTGATAGTAATGCCTCCAGCTCTTACCCCAACAGATAACACTTTCTAGAGAGGACTTTCTTTTTACACATTTTGTAGGTCACACCACCAGAGAGTCTCTACCAACGAATAAGCTTCCTTTCATCGACTCTCCGTTTTTCTCCGTTTTTTGTCATTATAGCATGACAGACATAGGCCACATTATCTTTAATGCTATTTTGATAGAAGCGATAGAACCTTGTGGAGTAACTTCATTTATTAAGAAACCAGCTTTCTGCTGAGAAGTCTTTAATCATTCGAGCAAGATGCTGAGAGAAGTACAGTTTGACTGTGATCTGATAAGGGTCCTTCCAGACTGCACTTAAACCTGCATAGTTCATGCCATGCCTTTCAATCAAGAAAAAAAAAAAAACTTAGAAACTCATTTTATTTCCAAAGTTCTCCCAAAATCCGGCTCAGTTGGATAAGTTTTCTTTCGAGGTAACAGAACACACAATTATATAAATCTTTAACAAATCCCATAAAAAACTGGTTGATGGACAGTCAAAAGGAGATTTTCTTTCAATTACCGGACTGAAATTATTTTTGGTTTCCATCAAACTGATTTTACAATATAATTATGAATGTTTACCTCTGACTTATACCTTCATCTTCAATGATTTTATAATAAAACAGAAATCCATCACTTGTAAAAAAAAAAAAGAATTTATCCCATACAGATGAACAAAGGTACTAGCATTTTGCCTCACAAACTAGTCTTACAAAACGTGTTAGGATTTTTCGAAGGGTCAATAACTAATGGTGGTTTAAAATTAACTAGAATGTAATAAACAAGTTTTACTCATTTTATATATTAAAGATAGACACTTTACATGACATTTATTCATAATATGCAACCACAGTAAAATTGGAATTATAGCAGAATGTGTTGTATTGATGTGGACACCTTTTCCTTTTTTCAAATTATAGTAGATTTATCTACTGGTTATCTACACCATCTATTTTGGAGGTGAGAATTTGACAGCAGCAGAGCCTTCACCAGTCTATCATAGGTGCAAATGCCAAAATACCATGCACACTCACTCCTGTGGTCAATTAAGAATAGCAATTAACTCAGCATGTGTGTTGGTTAGCTGTGGTGTCAGAGTATTTAGCGAAAACAGTTTTAGCAGCACATGTTCCCTGTCAGGGAAATGCAGCATGAGGGAAAATTGTTTACGAAAATAATATGAAAATAAAGAAAAAAGAAATGTTCACAATAGTCATATCTGATTGTCGCTCTGGGCGGGGGCGCACAATGCAAACTTGTCAAGCTCAGAGTCTCACAGAGACACCACAGATTACAGAAATATAAGAAGTAGAAAACAGAAATAGAGTAGGCAGCCCTGAAGTTATTGTTCACACAGCATGCATTTTGCTTGTGTTTATATTTCGGTTTTAAGTTAGGCAAAGCCAATTAGTCCCAGTAGAAGGTTTATACAATCCTGAAACAACACAACCAAAATCTATCAAACTTGAGGAGTCTCTCTTTGTAAACTTGAACTGAACAATAATGGCATGTGTTGATCAAACCATTCTCAAGCAAAGTTGGATAGGTCTTTCAGCCTAAAATAGCCCTGTCAAATATATATGGCTTTGGAATAACTCTTAATTTATCTGTTTTTTGTTTAGTCAAATGCAGTTTAATCTTTTTCATGATGCATGTAAAACCTGAACAAGAAATCTGAACCTTTCTCTCCCTTGTTTGTCTCAGTTATCCCCAGGGTCAGAGGAAGATGACCACGAGGGTCCGGTCTGTGAGAAGCTAGGTCGTATTCAGTTCAGTGTTGGATACAGCTTTCAAGATTCCACCCTCACAGTTAAAATTCTTAAGGGCCAAGAGCTGCCTGCAAAAGATTTTTCAGGCACTTCTGATCCATTTGTCAAACTTTACCTGCTGCCAGACAAGAAGCACAAACTGGAGACTAAGGTCAAGAGGAAGAATCTAAATCCCCATTGGAATGAGACCTTCTTGTTTGAAGGTATAATGGGGAGGACTGTTCACAGTGCATACACGTGCTGCTTTTTTCTGAGAATGAGATACATGTTAACATTATATGCCCGTTTCCTAGGGTTCCCCTATGAGAAGGTGGTTCAGAGGACTCTGTACCTGCAGGTTCTTGACTACGACCGCTTCAGCAGGAATGACCCCATAGGAGAGGTGTCCATCCCCCTCAACAAACTGGACCTGGCCAACATGCAGACTTTCTGGAAGGAGCTGAAACCCTGTAGCGATGGCAGTGTAAGTAAGGAGGGAGAGCAAAGGAATGGTTGAGGAAAGAAGAATAACAGAACAGAACGATGCAGATAATGATGAAGGATATGAGCCGATGGGACACAACGGGTGATATCATTCCTGTCTGCTGTGATGTTCCCCGGGGAGATGCAGCAGCATGCTGTTGGGAGAGGGGATGGAAGGGAGTATGGAGAGGTTGACAGGTAGAGGATGAGCCCGCAGACAGCTAGAGGAGGAAACAGCCGTGCACTGCAGTCATCAGAAGGAAGAAAAGTCTAAAAATGGGATAAAGAATAAACAATTTCACTGCTGTTGTTGTGGTGTATGATCTCTCCAGGGAAGTCGAGGGGATCTGCTTGTCTCCCTATGTTACAACCCAACAGCCAACACCATCACTGTGAGCATTATCAAAGCCCGGAACCTCAAAGCCATGGACATCGGAGGCACTTCTGGTATGAGAGCTTTTTTTTTTATCTTTCAAGTATTTTTATATATTCCCCTGTTCACATTTGTTTATAATAGTTTCCAAGTGAACATGACTATCGCTTTTGTTTTCTGCTTGAAAAGAACACTGAATGCATCGTGAAAAGTCAAAACTGTGTTCAGTTAAAGTGAAGGGGGAAATTATTTGGAATAGATGTACAAACTGGCACATTTCGTTCTCCTCAGACCCCTATGTAAAAGTGTGGTTGATGAACAAGGACAAGCGTGTGGAGAAGAAGAAGACAGTGGTAATGAAGCGCTGTCTGAACCCTGTTTTCAACGAGTCCTTCCCCTTTGATGTGCCTGCCCACGTGTTGAGGGAGACCACCATAATTATCACTGTCATGGACAAGGACAGGCTCAGTCGCAATGATGTCATTGGAAAGGTATCTCCTTCCCTCTTCTTTGCCTCCGCCTCCTTCTCTTCCTCTATGTTTCTGTTACTCTGACAGATTATTAGCATCTGATCATTAGACCAGTCTCTACTGACCCCTACTGGAACTACTGGACAAACCTTCACTGTAAATTACTAGACTACCAGTGCCTTAAAAAATACATTTGACTTAGTTTTGAATATATGGCATTCATCTAATGCAGCTTCAGATGAAACCCACACATATTGAAAAATTGGACCAATTTTGGTCGTTTCTCATCTGTGAAGCATCATAGAGGATATCAATTGAAGTACTCAACATAATTTGGTGTAGTTTTACATCTCAAAGTCAAGACGTTTGAAATGACAAGCATCCAATATAAACTTCTGAATTTATGGGATTTAATTTATGGGATTTAAATTAGGATCTCCAAAATTTTTATAAGACATCTTATTACGCAGTCCAAGAAATGTTGCATACAAGAAGAAATGTTATCTATGTAGCTGCATTCTGACTGTACATGTTAAACAGCCACTGACCATCCAATATGGGCTAAGCTTTATAAAGCTATAATACATCAACATTTCAAATGTTTTAAATTTGGATAAAACGCAACACTAAATTGATACATTTCTACTGTATATATCTCTGAATGCGTCCTGATACAAATTATAGAGACGATAAAATCGAATGACACACAAACTGAGCATTTCTTCCTCGATCAGAAGTTTTACTGCACATTTTTGCTTCTGCCCTAGTCTTTTTTCCTTGTTGATGGTTGATGGAGCTCCATTTCCAAAAAACGTCTCTCATTTTACACATATTTCTTTTTATTTGTTGGACTTAAAGACGGACTTAAGCTGCCCATAAAGACTGACTGTTCACTTGGCGTCATGATATTGAGAATTTCAAGACTTCATCTCCTTCTCCATCAATCTTAAAGCCTTATCTGTTACTAAGTGCTGCTTTGCAGAGTTGCTCTAATTCAGCACCACAGAATGTTTAGTCACAGGTTGTTCCAACACTACCTTTGTTTAAACAGAGTTCATGAGAAGAGAACAAAGGAAAGGTTACCTCTAGATGTTGTTTGCATTGACTTTCATAGGCTTCATATACTTTCATTGCAGGGAGATGGTAGCTTTGTGTTAAAGCTTTGTTGAGCACACGATGTACTCCATAAGCATAATTTAATAGATTATTCGTTTAGATCACAATAGAAACGGGAGATGTTCTAAACTGTCTGGACTTATTAAGTTCTGCTATTTCAATATTTTTGTTGTCATTGTAAAACTTTTGTGAACTGAGAAAACTTTACAGGTCCCTGTAAGCCCATAATAGCAAATGTTAAAAAAAAACTGAAATGAGAATGAATCATTCTCACAGCTTCAGTTCCATGTGTTTATTTTGAACCGACGAGTCACTTTTCAGTCTATATTAAATAACACTAACCTTTAACATGCTGGAATAACACCAAAGCTCAATTTAATCCTTGTGTTTTCTGATAGTGTGAGAATAAACTGCCTCCGTATATCTTTGATGAGCAATGTCATTCACATTTTCAGTAATTGCAGGTATTATGCCTATATCCTAACCACATACATTATCCGCCTACATGCGGCAGTCAAAGGCCGTTGGCTGTTTCACCACGCTCAAAACTAACATGTCACAGAACAGAGAAAACTTTCATTTGGCAGGAGAAGCTTTTCAGAGGCTAAAAAACTCCCATTCCAGTTAAGAAGGAAAGCTTAGAGCTGAAAGAAGAGCTTTAGGCTGACAGTTTTTCTCTTCATAACCTTTTATTGGACAAAACATCAATCTTTTTTTTTCATAACAATTTCATTGAGCCTCTTTGTCTTGTAGATTTATCTTTCATGGAAGAGTGGCCCTGCAGAGGTAAAGCACTGGAAAGACATGATGGGACATCCTCGTACTACTGTAGCCCAGTGGCATGCTCTCAAAGCCTGAGGGACCCGATGACCAACTTGCCTACAGTGTTTTCCCCCCAGAATTCAACGTCAGACTCATCCCCTGCTTTTAGCACACAACAACCTGCCCTACTCCCTTAATGCAGCGTTTGGCTGCAGACCATGTGTCATCTCTTTGTTCTCAGGCCTCTTTGATATTCATTTCCCTCATTCCTTGTGACTTCATGCCCCACATTTCACCCCTTGTCAAGTTCTGTTTTTCTACCTGACTCCATCTCATCCGTTTGTCTGAACTGAAAAATGTCTTTCATGTTCGTCAAGATATCCCTTAATCTTTTTTCTCCATCTTGGAAGCCATTCCCAGAGTTTAACATCAGAGCAGTACCTCTTGCTACCCATGAATACAAACTACCAACCGAAAAAGGGATCAAACTGATAGTCAAGCCCTCCTCCGTGGCAGTGAGATGGACTCTGGTCAAACATACACTTGCTGTGAATGCCATTGACTGTGGAACCCATTTACCACCTACATCTGGTTCACAGGGAGGAGCCTCCTACTTTGCTCCGTGTCTTTTTTTCCAAGTCCTCTTCCATTTCTGTCCCCGCTCCGCCACACCCTTAAAACGTCTGAAAAATCAGGAAACCAAGACAGACAATGGAGTGATAGATTTCACTTGAAATAGACTGGAACAGGACTCTGTCACTCATCTTATGTTTCTATCTTTTAACTCTCACACCTATGTAATAATTCTCCCTTGGCTGGAACCCTTTGTTGTCTGTGCGTGCTGTGGGTGATGTGCTGTAATCCCAAATGAAGTCCATCCCCAAAAAAAAGGTTTTAAAAAAAAAGGTGTGTACATTGTAACACAGGTCAGAAAACGCAAGTGTCAAAATTACTTATTTCCATTCTTCTGGAATAGAAATCCTGATGGATGGGGGAAAAAGAGTGAAGTGATTAATGCTGTACCATTATTTATTTATTTATTTATTTTAAATTCTTAAAAAATCACCCTGTTCTTCCAGACAAAGACAAAAAAGCAAAAACCAGCTTCCAGGATTGTAGAATAATATTCGTACATGTGAGTGCATGTGCAAAAGAGTGTTTTGAACTGTACAGCTAAAGATAACATAGAAATCCTTGCTGATGACAGATTTGCTGAAACTGGTGTTGTTGCTTATGGAAAGAGGTAAATAAAGTGAAAGCAGTCCACCCAAATTACAAATACAGCCGATAGTATGAACTAAAACTGAAATTTTCCATTGGAGTAGTCATGTGTTTGATCCTCTGACACCTTAAACGCTGTCCCTTATTGAGCAGCTATCTGTGGGGTTTCAGCCTGTGCCAACCCAGTGCCCCAAACAAGCTGCTCAAAACTGAAAGTTTGGAATTAGCACAGAAATATTATTATTCTGGCAATCCGTACACCCACATTTCTCCATGGCGCTTCCTCCATGAAAACAGCAGACATATTGAGCCAGTTAATCTAAATATTGGAAGTATTTGAAAACAAAGATTTATAAAAAAGAAATTAAGCATTTGTTCTGAACTTTGGTGATCTTTACTATGACGTAAAGAAAGCCAGGACGGTGGGCGTGTTGGGGGAATATCATGCAGTAACCCTGACCTCATTCAGCCAACTGAGCTTAAGGTTTTACACCAGGATTTGGGGTCTGGCTGAAATGCAACAAAATGTTCATGAAACGTTGTTGGTGTTGTTCAGTTATGTAAAAAATAAGAGTTGCCTTAAGCCAAGTTTATACTGCATGATTTTCACACTCCGCACACTGCCGTGTGTTTGGTGATCAAGGATTCTGAAGCCCCAGAGGCTGCACAGCACATGCAGGATAGGCAAAAGGTTTAAAGTTAATATGATGTAATAGCAAAACACTACGAGATTCATCAGCAGACTAGACCCCCAAATGATCATTATCACGCAGCTACAGCTGCCATGCAGATAAGTCTGTCTTTTGTCTTTAGCAATAGTTCCTGGTGATTCAGCCACTTCTGCTCAATCGGCTGTTAAGAAGAATTGGCAGCTTCTGTCCATGCTTCTACTCTCTCAACTAAGTGGTGATGTTATATGTTGGAATCATCAAAGATGCTTGTTGCTGCTCAGGGCCAGTTGTTTGTGGCTCCATATATTTCTTTGCAAGGTCAAAATCTTGTAGTGCGAACCAGGCTTTGGAATCAACTTTCGCGTACAAAAGTCCATAGGGTTTTTTTCCCCCCATGTGACAGCTATGCTGCACTGCCATACTATTAAAGCTCAGGAGAGACCAGATTGTTGACCTTTGAGCATCCTGTCTGGGTTCTTCACTGCCACTAGTGTTTTTTTCCCCTAAATCCAAAATCTCACCGATTAAAATTGGGAGTTTCTGCATGGTTTGTTAACCCCAAATAACCCCAAAAATGTTCTCCTGCGACAACAGTGTCATGCACCAAACTGACTTTTAGTATTCTTTAACTCAAGTCCCCCTTATATTGCTATTCACTGCCTCTGCTATTACAGCTGGTGGTTTCAATAATAGGAATTTAATTAACATTGTCAGGGAAGAAACCAAAATCATCGTCATCAGGCCCTCTCGGTGCGAGCAAGGTGCTAAGTAAGACCGAACATGCAGTCTGTCATAAAATGCAGACCTTGAGGCCTTCTATAAACCTTTACTTTCAATTATAGGAATGTTGTTCTATTCATTCCTTTATTTATTTTTAACTATGTTTATTTTTTGTGTGCGAATTGGGTGAACTGACAGTTCGACAGGCATAAACCAAAAGGTCATTTGTCAAAAGAAATGATAAATAGGAGGAATAATTCAATGAATGGAAACCATACTATCCCTTTCAGACACATAAGAGTCCATCTAGATGCACAGACCTTAGCCAAAATAATTTCTTTGTTTTATTCTTTTTGCATTTGAGTTCTGGCAGAAGTACAGGCCAGTCTTCCAGGAGTTTGCTTTACTGCCCGAGTGGGACCTCCATACAGTCCTGTATCGACACATGTTGATCACAACAGTTTTCTTTCACACTCCGCTGTTTGTTTTTGTCCAATGGATGTGTGCATGTGTGTGTGTTTTCCACTGTGCGTGAGAGTCAATATTTAGACTTTTTACTTTGCGTGATTGTATTTATTGTGGGTCCCTTTGTGTGCATCTGGAGTTCAGTTTAGCCAGTTTAATACAGAGCAGCATTGTTCTCCCTCTGTATGAATTCAAATGTACAATTTTATTGTCGCCTCTTTAAGAAACAACGCACTTGTTGACGACAATGCTGGAACAAACCTCTCTTCATAGCAGGGTTGTTTTCCTCATGCGGCTCGAAGGGCAAATCTCTTACACATGAGCTGAGACTGAAGGTGACGGGGAAAATATCGCAAACCAGCCTTTCACCAACCCCAGATTAAATCTCTTTTGTTTGAACCATCATGTAACCAGATTTTAAGACAGAAGCAGATGCCGACATTTTGTCCCGGCTGCCCTATCCATCCTTCCCATCTGGTCCAATATAATTCACCAAAAAGACAATGGATGGCTCTTTAACATCTCAGCTGGCGCTCTCCCAAAACTCCCCTATTGTGCACACATGCTTTTTGGCACAACATGCTCTGTGTGTGCCTTATAAACTCTGCCACGCCTTGCTCTTCACCATATGCGCTCCCTCTCCAAGTGTCAGGAAGGAGGGAGGTAAGGTGAGACAGAGGATAACCATCACCTCTTTGCGTCACTCTTAGCTATGTCTCAGGTCAGAGAAGAGCATTGGACCGTACTAAAATGAGCAGGAAGAGACATCTTTCTGTCCTGTGAAGGGATTATTCGGAGTGCCGCTGACAAAGCATTACATTCCAAAGGCTTGGTCAAAGTCACCTCAATCAATGCTATTTAAATATTGGGTATTGGTATATTTTTTTAAGAAATCGAGCTAAAAAAACAGCCGTCTTTCTACACCCCTCACTGGCCAAATACCACACGCTGGTAAGATTTACCGGACAAGCTCGCATTTCTGTTTTAGGGCATTCTTCTAAGGGACTGCTTGAAGCAAAGAGAGGTTAACCAGCAACATTATAATTTCTATACTGTACAAATGATTGTGAAGTGTCCTGTATGTAAAAAAGAGAAGAAAATATCAGTATTTATTGGGGTTGTTGATATCTGTCTGTCTTTGGTATCACTAACCCCCTTTTTGTCACTCCTTTTTCTCTTTGTAGTCACACATCTGTGGGGTACACGATGTTGAATATCAGCCATTTATTTTTTTTAAACCTGTACAGTGTATATACTAATATAAATGTGTACATAAAACAAAGAATCTTCTGGTATTGTTATTTGTTTCTTTGGATTTTGTTTTTTCTTCATCAGTTTGGGCCATACGTTTTTCAGATAAAATTCCAGAGATGGTGTTAATTTATAACTGGAATCTCTGATTTGAAGAAATGAGCAAACTGGTGAAATTAAATAAGAAAGAAATCTATGATTTTCAAATTATTCAAAACCTAAATTTGATTTAAAATTGTACAGGGCTATGTGATCCAATAACTTGGATATTCACATATGTGCAAACGATCAAAACATGCTACAGTATGTATTCTGGCTTTTGAACCATGTGTGGATAATAAGATGGAAGTTCCCTCCCATCTTGAATCAAGATGGCCTACATGATTTTTGAACTGACTCATTAGACTACAAGGCAGTTTTCCACTTCCATGAATCTGTTTCTAATTATCTCATGCCCAGGGACAGAGACGGCTTTCTTTGTGTTTGGTTGTATTTGTTTTTCTCAGCATAACAGTTTTAACTGTTCAATGCAAACAGTTTTTAAAAATGATGTCAGCACAGAGTGATTCCTCTTACAGAGTTATGTCTGGGTTTAAATAATCAGTTTTAAAATCAATAACATAATGTCTATCTTAAATTGATCATTTTTAAGATGACGATTTTAAGCTTTTTAATCTCATATGACTGAATATAAATTTTGTTTTTAGGTTAAATGAGTTGGAAACTCTTTTAACAAGCAGCACCAAAATGTCATAATCATTCAGTTTGCAGTAAATCAATGGCGTATCAATGTTTATCAGATTATGGATCTCACTCTTACACCAGCTTTGAATAATGTCACATTGGGCCTATGTTAACATGAACACTGCTCTTGTTTCTGAAGATATTTGCAGTCAGATATTTAGACTCTGTATTGATCTCAAGATTTAAGGCAAGGGACGACATTGCCTTTGTATTTCAGGTTTTAATGGAGACAAGACAAGGGTTGCACCTAAGAGAGGAACCAACTCTCCTGCCACACCGCTTATGGCTTTGAGAGCAGTTTTCTTTTCGCCCTCTCCTGCACACAGGGCCAAGAAAAGGGGCTGGAGGGCTGCAAGAAGGAAAATAAAGCTTGTGAGATTGAAATTTCAAGGGAGCAGAGGGTGTCTGCAGCACTAAGGATAAAACAGAGAGTTGTCACGACACAGGAAGCAGCAGTGGAGGATGACAGGAGTGCTGGGCTACAGATAAGTACAGTGGGTGTGCGTGGGCAACTGATGAATATACACTCTAAACCAGCTTTAGAGCCATAAAGACACGGATTGTGCTCCCCTGCATGTGAGATCTTCAGGTAGAACCCTCTTTATTGATGAAGGAAAGACTTGCAACAGCCAGTTTTTATTTCAGTGGTGGAAAAAGTAGTGAAATCCTTCCGCTGTAAGTAGCAGACAGTAGTGAGTTTTGATGATATATTGAAGCGATACACCTTCAGTTCCAACATGTGATACGTTGCCTTTGTGTTATTTATATCAAGTTACAGTGGTAAAATGCTTGGGACTTTTCCCGCTATATTCTTTTTTTGTTTCTGTTTTTTTAGGAGTTAGGCTTAGACCTTTTTACAATTTGATATAGTCACTTACTTCCAAAGATAACCAATACCTATATCTTCTATTTATATTACTGAATAATAATACAGAAAAAAGCACTACAAAAAACATGCAAAGTATAAAATACGAAAATATTTTTGCAAGGTGTCTGATATCTGTTCTAAAATAAAGTGCATAAATCTTCCGCCAAAGATAAAAATAAATAGTGAAACAGATGGCAGAAGTGCAGTAAAGACAGAGGGGAACCCTTCTGACATCATCACGGTCTATTTTAGAACAAGCTGCGTGCAAAAAAATGAAAGAGGTCATTCTTACTCATATATCCCTTTTTTCAGAGCTGCGCCATGAAATGAAAACGCAAATGCTCTCAGTGTCCGTGACGCTGGCTCGGTTGTGTAACACCTTGGCTGCAGATCATGTGTACATTATAATTCTGTGGACGTACACAAGCAGGCCTATCATCTGTTTTCAAATTCTGCGCACATCTCCTGGCCAGAGGGCATCTCTTTTCTGCAATCAGTACAAGGTTCCACTGAACCAACATGACACACAGCCAGAAAAGAAATGTTCCCTATAGTCAACACATGCTGATAGGGTGCTGAAGGAGAGGAAAACAACCTAATCTATTAGGTTTTTTGATGAAAAGCATAGATCATTTCACAATAGCTCTAAATAGAAAACATAAAAATAAAACCTAATCAATGTAAAGTATTTTAATATAAATAAAGTAATTTTCATTTGTTAGTTTTTTCTTCTCCAAATTACATGAATAAATGCTAACAAACTTAATTTCCAATATTTATGCTGATTTATGAGGTTGATTTGCAAACATAAGTGTCCATTTTAGATTAAGACTTTCAGACAGCATATTCTAACAAATATATTATCTGATATAATCATTTCAGGTGAACCATTTGCTATTTGATGCCACGATCAGCAGGTGTTTGAATTCAACTGTGAAATCTGCAGTGATATGCTGCCATCTGTGGTCTGATAAGGGATCCTGCAGGCAGCACAACCTTCATTATGTAACTTTTTACTCATGCTGTCAATCATGGCACTCTGGTGTCATGTGATCACTTCATATGCTACAGGTTGAAAGCCATGTTTAACAAAAAAAACATTAGCAAAGCAATGACAGCATTCAAGTCGAACATTTATTAAATAAGCAAAAAAAATATGCACAATGACATCTATTAAGGCTTGCTTTCAGGAAGCATTTCGCACACAAAGCAGGTCGAATATACAGTAACGAATCATTATTTATAATACATTTAATACAAATGTTCAGAGCAGTTTTCCTCTGTTCATTTATGTCTCATGAACAGTTTCCCTCATCATCGTTAAATATTCCCTCCCCTATGATGGCTGCCTACACAGATAAAAGTCGTTTTCCTCTGAGCTTAATTTTGTCATGGAATCTCAGGAGTTCTAAACATTTTAAACTTTTGCATTTAGCTGTATGCTCTCGGAGGAACGCTGCTGACTTTCCAAAGATCTTATCGGAGGATTATCACATTTATATTTACACAGTACACCTCCTTCAACATATCTCTGAGAAGGTCCTGAATGTCAAGGGCATCAATGACTCTCTTTATCCAGGTACTCCAAGTTGGGCGCATCCAACCGTTGTTCCTGGTCACGGTTCTTTGTGAACTCCTTTAGCATATCCATGACCTCTCCTTGGTATACATCAGGGGTTGGCTGAGCTTCTGTCAACAGAAAGTAATTAGATCAAGTTAGACTTAAACTTCTTAATATACTACTTCAGGGAAAGAAGCCCTGTCTACATTCTCTTTTCTTATCGCCAATAAAGGACCATTATTCTGATGTTTCCAAAGAGCTGATTATTTTCTAAGACAAACTAAATGAGATGCTAATACTGCAATTGAAAACAGGCAGCCTCCCTCACCTTAAGTTCCAACTGTCTACCCTTGGACATAATTATTCATTATAGTGATATCTGACTGCTTAATTTGTTGTTTGTTTGTCCTGAAATTTTATACCAATTATTCAGCATGTTGCCAGCACTGCACACCAAAACAGACAAATAAAGTTAAGAGGAATTGAGAAAGGTCGTCTTGAAACCGAGCGCGAGCTTTCGCAGGTTAGGCGTCAGCCAGAAGACACAGTTAAAGGAAAACAGCGTCAGAAGTTAATTTGTATGCAGTACTGTTTGCAAAGTATTTTCCAGTAGCCATGAATTACTCCCAGGTGTGTAAGAGACAAGGCTTTTCATAATTATAATACCCATTGAGTTTTTCTTATTTCTATGTTTTAGACTGAAAATGTTATTGAGTTTGGTCTGCTCTCCTCACAGGAGTCAATCCTGAGCTAGGGAAATTAAATAGCTATTGAATAAAGGCTCTGATCATGGCATTTTTACGACTGTAATAGTGAAAGGGAAGATGCTGAAAGGTCTGAAGGGACAAGCTAAACGTAATGGAGAAATACATAATTGAATGGAATTTAAACTATATTAAATGTATTCAATTCAATTTATGGGACTCAAAACAATTGGTAATAAGTATTGTAATATTTCACAGGTTATATTGAGCATTCAAGGAAACACTTGTCAGGCAAAAATAACTTTCCACTTACCTGTTGCCCAATAGTAAATGTCCCAATCGTTGCTTGGTTCATTAATCAATCTGTCATACTGCTTAAGCTGTCCATCAGTCATTGTGTTGAGATATCGCTTTGCAAAAAGGCTACAAGAGAGAATTAATTAGTCTCAGTTGTCTCTTCAAATGGAAAATCACAAGTTCTGATCATCAAGGCAAAAAAAAAAACTTCTGCCTCTATTAAAAACACTGAACAGAACAACATTAGTGCAGCTCTCACATATTAAAAACAATAACAACTTATAAGCATGGAGGCGTGACAGGCAGAGTAATAAAGAAAAAAGAAACATATGTAGCATAATAACCTGAGCAGTATGCAGTTCTCCAGCATGCCCCTTTTGCGACTCTCATAAAGAAGCCTGCGTCTCTTGATATCAACGGGCTCGTCCATCTTCTCCACCCAGGGGGGCAAGGGGATCTCGATCAGGTCTGCCTTGTTGTCCTCGGGAGCCTCTCCTTTGTAACCCCGAAAAGATACCATCCCTGTGATGGCTGGTCTCCGTGCTGCCTGGCACACTCCGGTAATAAGCTGACAAGTATAAATACAAGTTCAGGCACACCATAAATGAAATAGTTGAATGATCTAGCTGATCCGCACTTTTTGTAACTATCCAAGACTAACTGCTACAACTCTTAAATGTTTTGCCTCTGCATGTTCAGATTACTAAATATAAATGGCACTAGTTCACGTTCAGGCTGATGTATTCATCTTATTGATAGGGGGAGATTTTAAAATGACACAACGGATTAGTATCAAATACCACTGTTTATCATTTTTAGTTTGAGATGTTCCATTCGGTTTTGAGGAGCATTTAGCTAACCTTTAGCATGTTCAAGCCGACAGAAGCTGCGGGGAGTTACGTAACATCACGCACGTTGCCCAGTTGTACAACTGTCCTCTGACGAGGCACTAAACTACACAAAGTGTTTTAATACGGTGTATGTTGTTCCATTGGGAAACTAAAACGCTATTTCACAAAAAATATTATCACAATACAACATTACACCAAACAATTTAACAACAAAGTGATTTAGCCTGATACTGAGATGGCTGGTAAAAAGGACAAACAACAACATATACTGAGACAATGAACACAACATTAGATAGCTTACCCTTTTTGCTACAAGGGAAGATAACATTTTTCCTTTCTTTCCCGTAAGGTGGACAGACTGTGGAAAGCACCTTCAATCACCGAAGTTGAGACCTTTGTGTCTGACTTCTGACAAAAATTACACAAGCTTGCGGCGTCACGTCACGACGATTGTGCACGGCAAAGCTACCGACTGCACACACAAGAACGCATCGACCTTACTGATGTTACCTAAAGGGTAAACAGCTGTAAGGGGTCAACGCTGTATAGACAAGGAGTTGTTTAATTTATGTATTTCATTGACATACATTACCCATGTGAACTATTATTGAGGTTATATTGGAGCTTGTAAGGGAAATAAAATATGGGAACAAATAAATTGGTCCTTGTTCTAACCCGGTTGAATATTCCCACGTACCTAAATTTTTACTGAAAAAAAATGCATTAGCTGATCAAAGATCGAGCATACAGTACGGATTTGAAACGGATTGGGTCAGTTATCATACTTGAAAGACCGTGCATGTTTTAAGAAGTGTACAGAAAAAAATCTTAAGTAGCGCTGCTCTTATCTCGGTTTCCTATTTTGGTTAGCTAGAGTGTTTTTGGACCTAAACGACACATTGAACGTTAGCAAACAAAACAAACCGTTGACGTTACAATAATTGTTTCAGATACACCCGTTGCTGGCATGCTTTGTTAACTTGCAACGTGTGACTGTACAAAGTCAACCATTAAAAAATATTAGATATTAAATCAAGACGAAGTACTAGCAGTTGAGCATCTGTGGCCCACGGGATGGCTGCTGCACCACCTGCAGCCGGACCCAGCACCTCCAAAACCCCACCGACAGATTTCTACGGTGATCTGAATCCAATCGATGAGGTGAGTGGCAGGTCTTCTCAGCATCCAAGAGATGCAATTTCAAGTTGTCGGCAATTTACTTAGTAAGATATTTAATATAGATTTCTACCTGTTCGTTGTGTGAAACAAAACTAGTTTAGAAAGTTGATGTGTTCTGTCAACGTCTACTAACCTGCTATTTCATTAACATGCTGTTTCATTAAGCACGTTTGCCAGACTCAAATTATTTACTTTTAAAACATTTATTTATTTATTTTTGCTGAGTTCCACCAAAAAGTAAGGGAATGATTTTTCACTGAGATTAACGTGTGTTTCTCAGTCAACAACTTCAGGTTCCATTAAAACAGTTCCACTTGGTAACTTAAAAGGCCAACATCACCTTATTTAAAATAAATTAACAATAGAGATAAATTACTGGAACCATTTGAAATTGGAATGGAGTCTGCACACTGCCATGCTACACTCTCATTTGAAAGTGAAAGTTAATTTGGGGTCATGTCTGTTCTACCCTTCATTGCTTAATGGTTTTAAATTGATTTATGAAGCCATTTGTTAGTTTTCTTCTAATTCTCATGTTTGGTTAGTTCATACAGTGCACATAGGCAGAAATGAGACAACATAGTGTGAAATTATTCTCTAATCTGTCCCACACAGGATCTGGAGAAAATAGCTGAAGCAAATGAACTTTTTGATGCTGTTCTGACTGGCTCAGTTAATCAAGACAAGAAAACCTCAATGAATGCCACTAAGAAAGCGCCAACTACAGTGGACTGTAAATCAACTGATGAGAAAACACAAAAAGAAGGAAGCACACTCACAAGACTGTCTTTGTATATTGGAAATTTCCCCTGGGTAAGTTCCACCCTCTAAGTGTTAGCTTGATGAGGCCGTGTAAAACAACTGAGATTAACCTGCACCAGTATTATGCTCACAGAGTTCTCACATTAATAGTGTTCCACATCACAAATGTGAAGGGAGCCAAGGGGCAAAGCATTTTGACGGCTGCTTTCTCATTGATTCCTTTCAAATCTGCTTATTTTTGCAGTGGACATCTGATAGGGACCTCACGAGCATGGCCCTGAAACTGGGCGTGAAAGACGTTATAGAGGTCAAATTTGCTGAGAACAGAGTAAATGGTCAGTCAAGAGGGTAAGTGTTAAAAAGTAGAACACGTTAGCATAATATGTGAACAGAAGATGTTCTTTTGGAGATTTCTATGACCTAGTGCTTATTTGCATTGAGGCTGCTTCTCTTCATCACAGCTTTGCAGAAGTGGTTGTAACATCAGAGGAGTCATTTAAAACACTGTTGGAAAAAATCCCTCAATGTCACGTAAATGGAGAGAAGATCGACTGTCGCTTCGCCACTCGCCAGAACCTCACCGTTTTTGAGGACATTGCTAACAAACGTGAGAGCATCTTAAAGAAATATTACTGATGATATGGTGATATGATATCCTGATGGTGTTGCAAAAAATCAACATGACTGTCATATTTTACAAAGCATTGTGTTCCCCACAGGTATACCTCTCCGCGTTAACTCAAGTCAGAAGGAATCTGATTCTGCAGAGAGCCCCACTACGTTATTGTCACAGGAGTCCAGACTTCCTCCTACACCTCCACATTTTCCCATTGCAAACAGCTTTCCCTCATCATCAAGCTCTTTTATTAATCAGCCACCTCCACTGTTTCCTCAATTACCGCCAGCCATCCCTCCACTTATGCTGAACCATTTTTTTCCTCCTCCTCCTGCCCTTGTCCCTGGCCAGCCACCTCCAAGTCTTCACATAAATCCAGCATTCTTCCCCCCAACACAAGACAGTCAAAGCAGCACAGTGTACAGCCACCAAAAGTGAGAACCCCCACGGTTTTTCTTTACATACTGACAACCATGATGTGTATGTGTCTATATTTAAATATTTTCAAATATGGTGAGACAAAACTTGCATAAATAAGATTTTTAAATGATAATTTAAATGATTTTAAATGAGGACAAAGAAATATACAGCAGTAAAACATTGGTTGCAGCATTTACTTTTTGTCTCCGTTTGTTGATGGTCAGAATAATTCCAGAAGTTACTATCTTCTCTCCTTTTTTTATTCCGTCTCAGACCAAGTGCGGATAGAGATTTCGAGGAGCTAATGAACCGAAACAGAACTATTGCCAGCAGTGCAATCACCAAAGCTGTGTCTGGAGCAACAGCCGGTAAGTGCAGCCGCTCGGGTTCAGAGGTGAAGTGGAACACATTTAGAGAGCCACGTGGGAAAAGGAATTTTTCATCTGCTACATTTTCTAATTAAGGGGATCTGCGTATGGCCATGGAGACCTTATTAACGGCCATTGCCATCATTAAGCAGTCCAGGGTGTATGGAGATGAATGCTGCCAAGCTCTGGTCACCTCACTCAAAGACTGTTTGGTCTCTATACAGGGTGACTACGGCTACAGGTGTGTATTTGTTACATCCATACTGTAACTGGGTATCAGGTCAGGAACATTTTAGGGTGAATAGAATAAGCAGTTACTTCCTTTTTACTCAGGAGCGGCAGTCATTCCGGAGAGAAAGAAAGAGTCCGGGACAGAGGTCGTGAAAGAGACCGGGACCGCGACAGAGAGCGAGAGCGTGACCGAGACCGCCATAGAGACCGCGACAGGGATGACTCGTATGGCAGGGAAGGTTCAGGCATGTCTCGACGACACAGAGAGCGTTCCTGGAGCGGAGAGAGGGAGAAGGAGCGCTCCCGGGAACGTGACAGGCACAGAGATCACAGAGACCGATACCGCTAACTTGGTAAGCTTCCTAGTGATTTAATTGTTCTCCTTGTGCAGATTTTTTAATCCATTGGGTGTAATATTTGATATGTCATCACAGAGAAAGCTGAGTCATGACTGCAGAAAAGCACAGGTGTGTCTATAGGCATTAACGATGGGAGTTGCACCGGGATCTGCGACGATAGCCATCTGCTTGCAGACTTACAGAATGCAGTCAATAAAGTTATTGTCCAGCTACATTACTAACAAAATGTGTGTAAAAAAGAAAGGAAAAAAAGCTGTCTTGATCTCCAGGTCAGACGCTGTACATTTTGGTCCTCAATGGAAAAAGTTTATTTTGTTTGCTCTGCTTTTTACTGAGGCAGCTCCAACTGAATAACTGATCAGACTTCCTTAGTGAGAAAAACTAAACTGCAATTACAATGCTTCATTTTATTGTAAATGCAACTCTCATCCAACTGGATGATTTCTTAGGTACAACCTTAGTTTTTTTTTTTTTTTTTATGAAGGGTTTTGCTCTGTGTGATTTGTGATGCTGTCTGGTGTCAGCAGCTGTGTTTTGGTGTCTCACTGCGGTATGATATGATTTAACTATATTGAACTAGAACTACAGGCTCAGGCTCCCAGGACAATTTAAACTCTAACAAAACATTTTCAATACACTTTCCATGACATTAGGCTAAGTCAGGAGTTTTTACTTTTTAAAAAATCTTGCTGTTCAGAAGTTGTTGGCTCGACAACCTTTTGTGTCCTCTGGCCTATTACTGCACCATCATTATCACACAGTTGTATATCCCATTTACCTGTCAGACAGTGTCTATGAACAGATTAGCCAGGAATGCTTAATCGGACCTTTACTGATGATGAAATCACTTTTTGGAACAGTTTAGGTGATTGCAATTAGAAACATTAAAAAAGTATTCAGTTGACATAGGTCCACTTTTGCTCAAATATTACCTGAAAGCTTCTGCTACATCCAGTCCATATGCAAAGTGTGTTAGTGGATTTGAGATTACTTTTTTTTCTCCCTAGACTGGTGAATATGTGAAGAACGGAAGGGGCGTTTTGTTTTTGCACCACATTGTATGAAAATGAAGAGGAACCTTCGATGACACTGAGCGTCGGATCTCAGTCTTTGTATGATTTTGCTGTCTTTTATGTTCACAGTAACTTCTTTTAACAAATGAGAAAAAAAATCTAGTTGTAGATTTGTCAAATACATTTCAGTGCCTGCATGCATAGTAACACCTCTAACATATGTATGTTTGTTTTCACCTTATTTTGTAACAAATCTGCAAATTAAAAAAGAACATTCCCTCATATCACTTGCAGTGTTATTTCTGAAATACCATCTACTTAAGGAAATCAAATGTTTATCAATTGCTTGTGTATTTCGATTCTATGTTTTGAATATAAACCATATTTAATCAAAAGCCAAACTTGAATAATTTCTTATTGATCAGTGTGTCATTTGAAACCTAAATTATTGTAAATTGTTTGGCAAATAATCAATTTATGGCAACAAGATAAGACAAATGTCAATATTCGTGTTTATCAACACATTTATTTAGAAAAAAAAGTAATTGGACACGTGAACTAAATACAGTCTTCTCCACAGTTTTCTTTTTTGGACAAACATAATACAAATGACCATTTCACAACCCCCCCAAAAAATCTAAGTCCTTTGCGTTACTTCTCCAGTGGAGCATAATTTAACAATTTCTCAATGAGATCCACATGAGAAAGAAGCATCCTTCGACAACAGTATCTCTTCAGGCCAAGGGCATCAAGTGCATCTCTTAGGAAGGAGAGAGGAATCAATATCAGTCTTAATGCAAACACAGCTCACTGAATAAATACATAGAGATTAGTGCAGACAAAAATGAGATAGCTGCCTAAATGGCTTCAGGTAACAGAAGCCATTTATCAACCCATTCATTCAAGTCTGACAACTTGAGAGGCTTCAGGGTTTGATGTATTAATGCAAATTGCGCATCTGCAGCTGAGTGATGTAGCAAAGAAAATATGACAATACTTTCTTTGAGCATTTTCAAAACCACTTCAAGAAAGATGTCTGCAAGTGCGCTTGGGGACATGAGGAAGGGTGTACGGGCAAATGACAAACGGTTGATAATTATCTTACCCCTCGGTATACTCAGCTTGAAGTAGACCGAGGTACGCCTCCCATTTGTTGCCCACGATCTTCCCACAAGTGAAGCACCTCACAGGGATAATCATTGTTAATATACCTGAAGGCAAAAACACGACAGATTGTTACCATCAATGTCTAAATAAAAGCCAGGGTGAGCCTGATTTAAAGTAAATTATTCATTTCCATGCAGATATTTGAGTCTGCGACATACTGCGACTTTAAAAGAAACACCATGCTGGGTAAGCATGCTAACGTGGCGTTGCGTTGTTTTGCTAATCACAAGCGACGTCTAAGTGACGCTAAACTGTTATATCTGAGAGATTTACCATTGCCGTGTCTGTGAAAGCATATATAATACAACATTGTCTATATACCAATAAATTATTATATATTAAGGAGTCAGTTTAAGGTTGTAAGACAAACTTAAACCGTGCAATGGGCTAGCTACCGACTAGCAACGACTTGAAACATGCTGCCACGACCCATATAATCATAAAGTTAGGAGGATTATTTCCCATTAGAAGAACGTCATATCAAACGTTAGGGCAAATGTACTCACAGTCTCCAATCGAGTTTGGGAAGCAATTAAACCCTTTGATTTTCAGCGAAACACCAATTCCAACGAGGTGTTGAGAACTTCCGTCTTGCCGAGAAACAACTTCCGGTAAAAATCAACCAATAAAAAAAAACCGCTACACATGATTTCTTGAGTAAAGAGTAAAAATAGCTACAATTCATTAAACCACACTAATCTCTCTGACAATTAATTTTAAATGCCTCTACAAATTTAGGTAATTTAGATAAATAAATTATTACATGTAAATTGAATTATATTTTGCTCAACATCAATACATCAAAATATGGTTTATGAGGAAATGCTAAGAATACCTGAAATTCAAACCATACGCATGGTAACCTTGTACCATATTATTCTTTAGTCTTAGGACGGACGTATTCATGGTATCATTTTTTTTTAAATATCAAGCCAGATATAAACTTTGGTTTAACTTTTAGTTGTTAAATTTTTTAATTTAACTCTCAATCCCTGAATATAGCAAGTAAATTAAAGACTGAGAAGAGCAGAAGTTAAGTAGAGGTGAAAATTCATTAAAGCGATTACTCTTGCATGCTAAGGCTGGAAAAGCTTTGCTAACATGGTATTTCAAACAAACCAAAATAATCTCAGAAATTTACAATAATGACTGGTTTAACTGAAAGAGACTTTTTTTTTATCACATCAAGAAATACTCATATGGACTGGTTCACTACCTTTAATAAGGTTGGATTTTAAACTAATTTTTTACATTTAGACATTTGGAGGCAGAGGGGAGGGTGCAAAAAGAAGATATGTTAAAGTATATAAAAATATATATCATATCCATCATTATCATTACAGCCACCATGATAATTATTGGTGGCATCATGTAACATCACCATCATTGCCATCAGTACATCATACATCATTACATCATCTATGTAATTTAACTTGCTACAGCACATATGCTAAATGAGGAGTCCTACCTGAATTATTGCATTTATACGCTGTTGAAATTATGAAAATAGGAATTTTCTTTTCTTTTTTTTAGTACACTGTATTGTACAATGTAAGGTGAAATTTGATTTGGTGTTGGCATACTATCATTTGGATATGTTAGGGGTTTTGACTAGTGAATGTGGCATGTTCAAACAATATTTTCAGTAAGAACTGTGTAAGAGTTATACATACCCTCATGGCAAAACTCAAGTGATGTGAGTATCAGAAAAGTCATTCTGCCATATCTACTCTTCTAGCATGGACAACTTGATGGGTTTTACAATGCACAGTGAGAATATGGTGTGCAGCTGTACAGATGAGTGTGTGCAGCAATGCCATTGTAACAGATTTTTTGTTTGCCACCTTGAAATTAAGTATGGAACAGTACATTCACACTTTCATAGTGTTATAAAAGGATGTTCTCCTTACATTGTTTGCTTATTATGAAAACATAGGAGGCGCAGAGACATCTCCCTTTTTTAGGGCAGCAGGCTTTAAACCTGATACTGGAACACTAATGGCTCTATACAGCCTGGTACAGCTAAGCATTCACTGTAAAATGTAAACAGACTGAGCTGGCAACTATTGTGGTTAGACAGGAAAGGTTTCTGATTTCTGATATTTAACAGTAAACTAAGTCCTTCTTATCCCACATCAAAGCACAAGTTCACAAGTACGCTTTACTCCTTAAGAGCAGGTAATACATGTTCAACAATCAGTTGTTTACTATTTCTCCACCACCACATAAAATTTAGTTTTAGATTTCACTGTTCCTATTGTATTTAACTTTTAACATTAAAAGGTTCTGACTATTCCCATTTTGTATTAAGCTTATAAAATGTACTCCCATTTAATGACCCAATTCGGTAAGGTAGACCCTATAATTAGAAATAGAATAAATAGTTATTCTCTTGTATTAATGACGGCCCGCAAACAGCTCCAGTAAACTGGTCCATAGCTATATGATGAAACCAAATCAGATCTACACATAGTTTAAAAAGTCAGATCACCACATGTCAAATATGATAGTAAATAATGCGTTAAATGCAGCTTAATGTTCCATTTTTCATTTCAAACTGGCCAAAATACAGATAGCCAAATCCTCATCAAATCTGTCCAACCATCTGATGTCATCTTATGCTGCACAGTGGAGTGCCTGCACTTAACCTTCATATGTCTGAATTGGTTGCCTGCTTTACCTGGGTGGACATTTCTTTAGCCAAAATATGTGCAATACATCCCAGTGCATAAATGCAAATGTTCTCTTACCAACTATTTCAATTGTATAATTCTGAATTTAAATAAAAACCTAGAACTCCAACATCCAAAGAACATCATGATTACAGTGAATGCAGTTTTTCATCATCTCAAAGCAAAATGAACCAAGCTCATTTCTGGTTCGATAATGCACAAATATTGCAACCTTTTTTCAATATTTGTGCTAACGGGATTAAACAAGATAAAGCAGTCAAAGCAGATAAAGCTACCTGTAGAGAGTATAGGCCCGCAAGTTTAGTGATACAGTGAGTCTTTTTCTTCTTTTTTTTCTTAGGAAATAGATAAATACATTTCATATGCAATATTATAGCAACTTCATGCATATACTAAGTATAAATATGCTCCATACACAGCTTGATTAAAACTTCAATGGGTTGATTCACTACGAGTGAGAGCAGGCCAAAAAACAAACGAAAACGCACAGATTGCACAGTGTCTTCCCATCCCCCATCTGCACCATAGTCTGTGAACCAGTCAGCATTAATTCTTTAAGTTATCAATCAGTAAATACCCCTAATTAAATTGAAAGATTTGGTTTTAATTTCTCCTCGCCAGCAGCAACACTCCCACCAAGATGGCTCCTGCAGCAATAACGACTCCACCGATCAGGAAAGGTTTCAGGTGTTCCAGAGAGTCTGTGCCGGAGGCCGCAGCCTCGTCACCTGCTCCCGCCGCCGCCGACTCAGCGTCTGCCGCTCCATCCTGGGCAGGAGGGGGAATCTCGGGCTCGGGGGCTGCAGGGGCTGGGTCAGCCTTGCGTGGGGCGACTGGCTCCTTCTTCTCTACTTTAGTAGCTGCCTTGGGCGCTGGTGCCCCAGACTTGGCCTTGGCCTCCATGGACTCAGGAGCAGAGGTGTGGTCTGGTGTGCAGGAGTCTTTATAAGGCCAGCTCTGTGCTGCTTCACCGAGGAAAAACAGCAAACAGACACGGACAGATTATCCCCTCTAAATTAGGCTCAGACAACAGGTTATCTGCTCCGCTGACTATAAAGGCTGACATTTGAATGAGGCCATGATCCATGATACCCAAATATTCACAGCACAGCTATGAAGCAATAGGCCCTTAAATGTGACCTTGGAAAAAGATGACATTGATGGGAGCACTCCAGTGCTCATAAGGGACAGGAACATGTTTATTTTGGTCACAACTGCAATGACATAACCACCCACTGAAGAAGTTATTTCGCAGCAGATTCCCGTGTTCGGCTTTTTCATGGGACAATGTGCTAGTTTTGTAATGGAGGCAGAGAGAAAGGTGGTGCTGCTGCAGAGCTCATTCAGTTGAATCTTCATTCCTTTGACCCAAGCAAGAGCCAAGTCCAAATGCGTTAACGTGCTGATTAAATCTCTCTCTCTATTTTGCGCTCTATGCCCTCTCTGTGAAAACTGCATGAGTCATATGTGCTATAAACTGACACCAAGATGGAGGAGAGAAAGCGTCTGGGGCAGAAAAAGTCTGTGAAAAGGCTACTCAGGCAAAATAGCTGCGATTTTTAAAAAATCTCCTGAAAGTGAATGCACCATAGCAGCTGAATGGTACAAAACACAAGATGGGAGATGTTTTTATTTTTTTAAACAGTGAATATCTGCCTGTAAATATGTATGTGATGTGATGATAGACAAATGGCTATTACATACCTTTCCACTAGCTCTGTGATGATCAAAAGAAGAACAGATGGAGGAGGCAGAGCCGTCTATGAAAGTTAGAATGTCCTTAATACTGGAAAATGAGAGACAGCGGAGAGATGGAGGACACTGAAAAGCAAGAGGGAGGGGAATGAGAAGGAGAGGAGGAGAGACTGGGATATACCATTTAGTGCTCAAAACAGGGGGGGGAAACCACGTCTTTGTATTTTCTTCCTTTGGAGTTTCAACAGCTAAAATGATCATTTCAATGAGGCAAAGCCCACATTCTGCAGCCATCACAAAAATGTAAATTCTCTACAAAAGTATTCAGTAAGCATTACATCTAGGCTAATGTGAAAATATTACTTAAAATCTTACATGTTATCCAAAGTGTATGGTTAAAAAGCCCAGAGTTATAGCTCTAAAAAGGTTTTTAAAGTTTTCTTTGTTTAGGGCTTCACATCAGGTAGTTGGAATACGATTACATCCATTTAAATTCTTCAGCTCTGACAGAGCAGGACACAATGACAAGCGAAGGGCAGCTTTCAACCTCCATGTTCATTCGTGGATTCGTAAACTCTTTAAATTATTGCTGAAAATCAAAACTGAGGGGCTAATACCTTTACTGTTTTTGTATTGTGCACTGCTGGAAAGCATTTGCAAGAACCTCAGCCTGTGTAAATGTGTAGTGTCCTGTGAATATCAAGAGCAATTTGTATTTCTCAATTCATAGGCTTCATTTCTATTATATATTGTATTTGCATTGCCCTGTCAAAACGACTATTATTGGCAGCTTTGAGTTGGCTTTTAGATAAATATCTGCTTGTCAAGGTTAGATGTCCTAGATAGAGTTTGGCTTATGTATGTTTCTTTTGGTACGTCTATTTATACTTTTTTATCATCATAAGTATTATCATTTAATTTTCTATGGATACGGACTACAACAAAGTTGACATGTTTTAATTTTCCATGTAGAGGACTGTTGATTTTGTGTCGCGATCCCGGCTCACGCCCTTTTTTACGTCAGTACAGAGAGCATATGTTAAGCCAAGATAGTAGCAGACATTAAATGACTGCTGGTCCAGAGATTGTTGTCTCACGAAAACGAGCATACCCAAAAGCTTGATAAAGAATCAAAGAAAGAAACCTCCCCAGCTTTTAAACAGAGTTTTAAACTACCAAACAAAGACTGTGGTTGAGCTCATTTTAGAGATGTGATGTAGTAACTGAACATGAGGCACGACTAAACATAACCACCTCAGTGTTTATGCTCAATCTTTCACTATTCTTATGGTTGTGATATCTTTCACCAATATCCAGTATTAAATGTTTAAGAGACAACACATTTTTTACGTAATCTAGTTACAGTAAATTTGACCTTGTTTAACCGTTTGGTTTATGGAAGAGTCATATTCAGAAACGAAACGTTTCAAACCAAATAAATACGTGAAAGGATATATTTTGATTAATACGTTCAAAATAATTAGTTAGATTTTTTCAAAATAGGTTAATTTCTGCTGATAAATGCAATTTAAAATGGTTTATTCATGCAGCCACAAACCTTTGACTTTCACTGCCCCACCTAATCTTACGGAATTGAGGGTCTGCACACCTGCTTTTCCATCTTTTGACCACACGTTCGCAGTATAGAGTGATGTACACTGTGAGCTAAGAAAATGCATCTTTAGCCTTTCTGTAAACAGAGTAAACTTGTGCTGGAGAATATTTCATTGTGGAAAGGCTCATATGCTCCGGCGCATACGCCTTCCATCATAGCGTAAATGAAAAAGAAAATTCAGTCACATCAGAAAATGTTGACGTTTGACTCTGGCTTCGACGGCACTCTGGCGTTCGCCTGCATCGCAGTGTCGTCACTGTGGTAACAGCAATCCTTACTGGTAAACACTGATTTACGCATGCGTACTACGGAGGGCTTCGCTCTTCAAGTCAACCGTTTCCAACACGCCTATATGTGTTTTTTGTGTGTGTGTTTTTTTTCTTTTTAACCACCAGCTCTTTCGGAACTGACAGCTGTAGTCAGACTTTAACGTTGCCCAGCAAAGAAACTGAGCTAAGGATCACCCAGGGTCTTCCTGGATGACGTCACGAAGAGGGAAGGCGTCGCCTTAAAAAAAAAAAAAAAAAAAACCCACCGTCTTTGAACCTATTGCCGACTTCCTGATATCCACAAAACCACCGGTGGCGCCCTTCTTCCGCAGGAATCCCAAAGTGTCCGCAGCCTTCCAATCACGGAGAGGGAAAAAAAACAGTCAGGTGTTCGTAATACGACATTTACGTAGCCTGGCGCGGACGGAATAGCCGAACTCTACGTATTTTTCGGTGAGAAAATGTCCCAAGGGATGGGCTAGATTCTCGGGAAAAAAAAAAAAGCTCCTCTCTCTTAGCCGCTTTAGCCGCTGTTCGTGTCAGGATTCGGGGGTTGTCCGGACGATGGCACACACACGCCAATAACTACACCCTATAACCCGAACAATCCGTCCTTACACACACACACACACACTATGTCTTGTGGATAGAAGGGATCATGTCCGGATCCGAAGAAAGGACGCGGAGATGATCCACACGCTGCGAAGAGCCACCAGCCGACGACGTGTTGCCGTTGAGGAGAGAACCGAGCTGTCAGTTCCGAGGGACTCGAAAGCGGCAGAGTAATTCCTTTCTCTCCTGATGGTATGTGTCAGGTGTGCCCGTCACCCGGCACATAACCGAGGACGCTCCGGGGCTCTGGCGTGTCGGACTCCATTCATCTTTTTATTGTTGGAATGACGTCTGCGCGGTTGTTTTAATTTACATCGCCGAGAGAGATTTGAAGGATTCATCCGACCCGGAGCCGGAGAGCAGGAGAGACCGAGGGGAGCGGGGCTGAGAGGCGGGTCGGCGGTCGGGAGGACATGGGAAAGAGAGCGGGACCGATGCAGCGGCTTTTGGCAAGGCGTCGTCAACACACAGGTGAGGGGCATTTACCTGATGAGGACCCCGACGGTTGTGAGCGGCTCGCGAGCGATGTCCGCGCGCGGGTCAGGCCGGCCGGCCACGACAGCGACGGCGTGACCCGGGCTGTCTAAGCCGTGTGTCCCAGCTGTTTCTGAGGCCGGTTTTCACGTTGCGAGGCCTGCAGGATGCCCACACCTCAGGCAGCTGGCCGGTTAGGCGGGAGCTGGCGCTGATGGACCGGTCAGATTCACACATTATGGTGCTGTTGCATGCATTAACACCCAGGACTGCAGATCCACGCATGAACTGAGAGCTTATTGTTGTTTATTTAGCCAACATTTTTCTAAACATTTTGCTCTGCACAGTGTCCCATTGATGGTAGAGGGAAAAAACTGGTTAGAAAGAAGTGATGTGATGCGAGAGCTTTTTCAGAACCCCAGTTTATTGAGTTAAAGAGAGAAAAAGAAGACGAAGAATTCAAAGTAGTTTTACTATGTCTGTTTTGTTTGTTTATAATTGGCTTGAATTTAAGTCTTTCTTGGTTCCTTAACGGTAGTGACTGTAGTGGGGGATGTAAAGTTTTTTCATTGAATTCACTAGATATTTACATTACTCCTGCAGCTATTACTGTTGTTTTTTTTACTTCCAAAGAATAAATGTTGTTATATCTCACTGCAATGTAGATGTCACACAAAGCTGTCCTACCATGCAGCTGATTCTAAACAAACAAGAAATGGAGGGATTAAGGCAGGGTCACAGTTGTATTCTAGATATTGGTATCGGTCCTTCCCCTGAAATCTCTTTTTGAAGGTCAAGTGAGCGTAAGATTGTTGCAAAAAAAAAGTCCTGTAATGTAACGCTACACCGATACAGTAAACGCTTGATGTTGTGGTATACTTGCAGGCTTTGGTCCCAGTGGAAGCGTAGAGTCCTGACAGATGTGTCCTCTCTTTGTTTGCCCTGGCCGGTTTTGAGAGGCGCTCATATAATGTCTTTTGATGCCAAGAAACTGCTACTTACCCCTTACCTGTGACTTACTATCTTAATCTGCTTTAATATGACCCAGTTCTGCTGTTTTCTTCACCAGTAATTAAAGACACGCAGCTTCTACTGTGAGAGGAGCAGCTGTGGAAATATTCTGGTTGGATATTAAACGGTGCTTTCCCGATGTCGCTGTTGAAATGAATGTAAAGAAATTGATGCTAACTCTTCACATTGTCTCTAATATCTAGCTGTTTTAACTAGGTCAGAGTTTAGGTGCAGGGAGGCAGTTGCATCTGTCTTTCACTGTCAAAATCAGTTTGTGCGAAAAAACTATCTGAACCTGCATGTCAGTCACGAAAGATAACCCAAATAGAAGACTTCAAATGACCTGTTATAATTTGGTTATCAAAGCCTGGATTGGACATCTAGCAACTGAGCCCTGTGACCCTCTGTGCATCATGATTAACACATTTAATTATTACGTTCTCTACGTTGACTTCTGAAGTCTTTTTTAAGATAAAAGTGTTCTTTATGTATAATGCAGGAAATGTGGAAAGGCAGGTGCGGTATAAAAGATTCAGTTTAGCATATTTAGAAAAACAACTGTACAGGATGATAAATGAAGCACATGACACTGATATTATCAGTGAGCCTGTAATCTATTATCTTTTTCCAAGCAGGTGCATGTATGCAAGTGTGTCTCCCTGAAAGGTTTTTCCTGCATTTCGAAAGGGATAAACGCCAGGAAATAAGTGGACAAGTGTTCCATGCGAGTGTGTGAAAAATCTCAGCGCGACGTGCCACAGAAAAGCTCGGTACCCTGCTGAAACCTGAGGCTGCAGCACAGCTTTGCACAGACATCGCTGCTTCAGTCCTTGTCGGTATTTGACAAGATCCAGACCTGTGTATGATTTGTGGGCACTGAGCCACAGACAGGTTGGCAGACTACATACATTACCACCTCGGCGTACTCGCACGCACGCGAATAACGTATACACAAAAACACATATGCATTCCGTAGTGCACATACTATCACATCAAGGGAAAGAAGAGAAAATGGAGTGGGAAGAGGTGAAAGGGATTGAGTGGGTGGCAGAGGGAGAAAAAGATGGAGAAAGAGGCAGAGGGAGAGTAGGAGTGAGTGGCACATGGCTTTCAGGCTAAAAAAAGATGAGCAGCACGAACCAAAACCAGAATCTGGATTAGCTAGATAAGAAAAGGGAGGGGGAAAGGGGAAGGCTAGAGGAGAAAATGTAGGTTTCCTTTGCACCCAAAATGGGTGCAGATGCACACGCTCACTTTCATGCTCATAAATGTCCTCTTAAATAATAATACCGAGCGAGTGTGTGGGTAGGACAGAGCATGAAGATTAGAGGAAGGAAGATGAGAAAAGACGAAGGTGAGATGGAGACGGTGAAGATTCTTTAGGGTGGACACAAAACTGCTGTAGTTTGCCACAGTGGGGAGGAATGGCACGATTAGAGCCGGCAGCAACGCAGCCAGTGATGTGACAAATGCTGGTGAGGCTCTTGATCTGAGCAGAGTGTAACCCTGACCCAGGCAGAAAAGAGACAGACTGGAGCAGATGGACGCATGGCACTGGGCAGGGGAACAGAGTCACACTGCCATGCCAGTCCAGCATAACTTCATCATTTTCCGCAGACAGTCTTAGTGGCCTGTCTCTCTGCGACTGGGCCCAACAGCTCACAGCATGCCGGGTCGCGCTCCGCCTGCCTTTGCTGGCCGGCTCGTCGTGTTCTATCGATTATGACAATATAACAAGGTACTTGCAGAACAGGAAAGATCCTGTATTTGTCTACCCTAGAGTGTTTACTCCCTTCCAGTAACGGCTCACCAGCTAATGATGCAAAAGTTCAATAACAACGCCAGCAATATTGCATGACTGCTGACATGAGTCAGCCCTGTCCAGCAGTACAATTATAGGTAAAACCCTCTGAATGACAGTTTCAATGTTGTTAGATGAAATCCAAACAACGTGCTCTCACCTTCTTAAATAGATGTAGTGTTATATCATATATTCTTGCCACATCATCACAGGCCTAACTCCAGAAACTCAATTCATATTAACCCTGAATACATCCGGGATGTGGTTTGATCCTCAGGTGAAAGACGGGGTCTTCTTTGTTGGCTGCACCTCAGCTATCATGGATTCTCCACTACCCTGCGCCATCTCATACGCTGGCTGTTGTTTTCCCATGCTGACAGGGCCAGAGCAACATGAGAGTGACAAGTCCAAACATGCAGAGAATTATGGGCTGATGTGTTTTACCCAATCCAATTTAAAGCAGATGTGTTACAGACGACCCAAGAATAGGCAGCGGAGCCATTTTAGCAAAATCTTTTGCTTTAGTTAAAGGTTGCTTGGCTCTTGCAACACCACTTGTGTCTGAGGTTTAGATGACTAAAGCAGAACATTTCTCAACACATGCAGCTCAGTCTTCATCAGTTATACCCAAGCACAAGCTGTGATCACGTGGCACACGACTCTGCTCCACTAGCACATGCTGATGTGATGTGCTGATGTGTTTTGGGCTTCATAGCATTGATACGTGTTTGCACATTGTTCAGTGAGTTTATTTTTGTGGCTTCACCTGTTGAAAAAATTGTCAAGATAACAGGGTTTTTTTTAAATCAATGAAAAATTCAATTGTTGGGGTGAAGAAAAACTCAAATTTGGTTTTAAAAAACCTGTAATCAAAGGCAAAAGATTCTGACTCTGAAGTGGTTATTTAATTTTTGGTTATTACAAAACACATTTTTTGAAGAATGTTCCTCAAAAGCTATCAAACCAAATCGATCCACTTGTACAAGCCTTTGTAAAACTTTCTTTTTTTGAATAACCAAAAACATTCTTTTATATACTCGTTGCTTCACTTGCACTGCCTCCCACAGTCTGCATACCTGCAGGAAACTTCAGTTCAAAGCAGCATGCGTAGGTCTGAAGCTTTTAGTGTTTCTCCAGTAGTTTTCAAACACTAAGATGTCTGTATATTCATGTTCTTCCTTTTTTGGGGGGTTGAAAATGACATAATTGGCACAATTTCCTTTAAGATCAATCCTTTCTCTTTTTTTCAATTCCTTCATATTGCCCATGGCCTCCCATGGGGAATATGTTTAAATATGTTGCAAACATGAAGTTGGTTCTGTGGTAGGTTTTAGTGAGTGAAATCCCACTGGAACAGAGAAGCAAGGTGACCAACTCAGCTATAGCCTACTAAATGTTATAGATGGATTTTAGCCTTGGGGTTTAAACTGAGTAGTCATAATTCTAATATTTGTTTAAACAAATCTATTGATTTGGTTTGAAACCAAAGCAACCCTAAAAAAGGATGCTTAGAAAGATTTTATAGATTGATTAAACATGTTTTAGGAACATGTTTTTAGGAATGGATGTTGCTCTACCCTTTCCCACCTGTAAAGCCAGGGGACTGCGTTCATGTGTTGTGGCCGAGGGTTACCATGTCCCAGCTGTTTGGTTTCAAACCACTTTGTAAGACACACTCTAGTTTGTGTGCTCAGGGCTGGTTGCAGGACAAATTTAGTGCTCTCCTCCTGGCTGCTGCAGTGATAGATAAACAGGCAGAGAATAAAAAAATAAAGAGGCAGTGAGGAGCAGTTTGTACACCTCAGCTTTGCTTGATTCTGCTGGTACTGCAGCAGACTCTCTTGGAGTGAGGCAGAGGAGTGGGATCCTAAAACACCAGCTGCTGGCGGCTTCCCATCCACCTGCTCTCTGCACGGCAAGGAATATGCAGCTGTTGTGACGTCTGATTCAGGTCCAGTATCTTAGGCACCCTCAGCAATGTAGTGGATTGATTTATTGACAGCAGTCCTTTTAATTATTTGAGAAGTGACACCGAATGAGTCCAAACCTTTTTTTTAACCTTTTTTTTTATAGTAATGGTGCATATGTGTATTAACTGACAGACTATCGAAACAGCTGGAGTTTTTTTTTTTACTATTGGTCCCGTGTTAATTTAAGTCAGACCGCAGTTGATTTTGAGAGAGTTATTGCGGGCGCAAAAGATGCATCAGAGAATTCACATGCGACCGTCCTCGGTTAAAAGCGTCCTGCATACCTATGCCTTGTTTGTTTAGGTCAAAGACAAAGCCTTTATGATGCACAGGGAGCCCTGTCATTGTTTGACATCATTGTCGTTGCGTCACGTGAGTAAAGGCCTGACACACAGTAGTACACTGTGTGTGGAGGACAAAAGCATTGCTCACACACAGGACTATATCATAGGCTCGCCATAAAACACATGTCGTTTGGATACAGATGGAGTCACTCGCTCAGGATGAGAGTGAACAGTTTGGATGAGTCATGCCTCATGCAAAATGCATATCATAGCGCTGTCAGGTTCAGGCTGGAACCGTCTAAGTCGAGGAGGTGCCGTAAAGGTCAGGTTTTGGACATTTTGGTGCTCTTTCTGATCACAGAGTGAAAACACATTGGGTGTGTGACAAACGGAATTTTCAACACATTAATCGCTAAGATACAGTAATTCTAGTGTCATTTAATGAATCGTGATGGGCTAGCTTAATACTTGATTTCGTCATGATTATACATCATTATTAATGAGAAACATATGGGACCTATCAGAAGCTTTACATGTAGTAAAAGCGTGACAGTAATATAGAGAAGGTGCTTTTCATATTTTGACTTGACAAATTGGATGTGCTGCTTACTAAGACTTTTAAATGTTAGAATAACTGTTCACTGGCCTCTCCCTTGATTTGAAATGTCCTGCCCATAACTGCCTAAAAGATTGAGCACTTAATGCTCTTTAAACATCGTTTCTAATTGTGTGCCTAAGTGTTACGTAATTACATTTTGAACAGGAAAGGGTTGCATGAAACAAAGGAAAAGGAACCCATTCTCTCTCCTGAAAACAAATCTCACCCACACAGTATCTGTTCACAAAGGGTTCAAATTAAGTCACTTGACCTTGTAAGATGTCCTGTTGTTGTGGTGTTCTGGTCTGAAGTGCTTTCTCTGGCATAATTTTTCAGACCATTTGAGTGGTGGTACAAACTGACTGTAGATGTATTGTGGAAATAAACCAGTAGTGACATTCAGCAAGTCCACTAAGATAAACATTTATCTATGTTTCAGTAGTCAAGTGTCGCTTGCCTGCCTTTTCAAGAGTTCTACCAGCCTTCATCTGTGTTAGTCAGTATTATTTGTCAGACAATGTACAGTCCTTTTAAAGAATATGAAAGTAAATGGCTTGTATTTCACACATAAAAAGTCATTTATTTATTTATCTTTTTAAAAGCATTCTTAACATGGGATTACTACTTTTAGAATTGCAGGGATGTATCCTAAAGCCATGTTGCATAGGGAGCAAACAGAAGTAGAAGCAAACCATTATAACCGAGGAGGGAAGCATTTTCCATAATTCAGAAAGGTTTCTTGTAACCTCTTTAAAATGTGTTGCATGCTACAGTGTCATTACAATTGTTTTAACGTTTGCTTTTATTGAGGGAAGTAAGTGCATCTGCTAATGCTGTTAAAAGTAGCCAAACAAAATCATTTATGGGCTAACATCCTCTGGGTGATGGATGATGGGAAGGCCTCAAAGGAGGCTACTGCTATTAGCGAAGATGTGGTGGTGAAACATGAGTCTTCTTGCATGGAATTGGAAGAGAAGAAAAGGCTCCCTACTCATTATTGAGTGCCGATAAGTCGATGGCAAGATTGATCAGTTGGATTTTCTTCACGTCATTGCGAAGCTTGATAAACTGCTATTGTAAAGATGATTGTGCTATCCCTCTCACTTTTAGGTTATGGTTAGTTTAGACTCATGAAAGACACAAGGTTGTCTTAAGGTTGTCTTTTTTCCGCTTTCTTTTTTGCCAAGGAATATTATAGTTAACTTCAATGAAAAGCACTTTACTGATACTGAATATTGGAACATATATTGGATAAAAGGGATTTTTTTTGCTGCTGGACTTGAAACACTATTGCAGATGGTACATAAATGAACGGCTTATTCATAAAATGGAGTGTTCTGGTGGCATTAACATCTTTCTGTGCAGCGTTAAGGCAACAAATTTAACAAATTGCATCCTCTGTGTTACTGAGTGATGCGTTTTTTTTTCTTTTCTCATCAGGGTTAAAGCCACAAGCTTCACAAAATGAAGCTGGCTTTGCAGCTAAATCCATAATGGTACAATCAATAAATGCTCAACAAAATATTGTCATCAGTTATCACTGGCTTGCATTTATTCTAACCAAATTGATCCCTCAGACTGCTTGACATTTACTCATTTAAACTCACACACATGCCCCGGGATTATTCTATACACTGTGCACTCATAACTCGACTACACACACACTCTCTGACACCTGCAGGCACATTGTTTGCATTGGTGGAGTTAAGTATCTTCCACAAGGACAGTTTGACAGTTGTACACACTTCTCTATCAAACTTGTTTGGTAGGAACAAGTGCAGGTTTAACTGTCCCCCCGGCCGTTAGTTTATTGGGTTTTACACTATCACTGTTGTGCCACGTCATCATGACACTTGTTCCTTTTTTTGTCTTTAATAGAGTAGATTATAAGGAATCTTCTTTGGGGAAAATGGAGAAGATGGAACTCAAACCACAGATGTTCAGATGGTCTGAGCCACAGCAACAAGTTTAGAAGTTTTAAGTACTTGTATTTTTTAATAAGCGGTACCAATTTTCCACTCAAGTATAGAGCGTAGGGTTAACCTGCTTACTATCTTACTTTTAAGGCGTCCCACTGTGACTTGA